ACATCTTTCTCTGAGAGGGACCAAAGGAACCACTATACCCACTACATTGGTCGCTTTACATGCCACCAGTGGCTTAATAACAGTCACATCCATTTATGCTCATCATTATAGTACAGGTACCTGTTGCATTATTCACCTGAACAACAGGTGTTGCCACTCAGACAACACCTCCACATCAGTGCTGGTATAAGAGCAGAAATTCCAGTGTTTGTTTGTTTTGTTTTTTTGTGAATCTGACGGCAATGTCATATGTTGCCGTTCGCCAGACACCGGACAGCAGGTATAATGGGGCCCTAACACTTGAAGAGAGGAAGCGAGGAGAGAAATGAGTTCAAATGAGATTGCGCTCTCCTGCCCAAAACAATCAAATTAAGTTTAGGACAAACTAGTTTGCACCAGATGAGCCCTGGAAAAGCAACTGTGTTTTCAAACCCTGAGACTACTCAGCTGATTTCCTGCAAATCTAACTTGACTCGTGGCGATTGGGAAACAAATTTAAAAAAAAAAAAAGTATGATGTAATTTATAAATGTTTAATGGTGTGTGATTGCTATGCACAGTAGGCTGAAAAGTGTTTCATTACAGTATTTTCACAAGGATTATAGGAACCATTAGTGACCTCACGGCAAACTCTGGGGATTATCCAGAGTAATGAGGATGTTGATTCTGGAAAAAAAAATGCTTTTAAATTTTTTGGATGGCTCTGAGAAAAAAGGGGAAGATTACATCCACCTTATATTAACATAAAGGGTGACAACACCAAATTTGGCAATGTGGTCACAAGACATGTTTTGTAATTGTAGCTGGCCAGTATATCGCTTTATTTTAAAGACCGCAACATTATTTACATTTTGTCTGTGCTATATACACACACATACATATGTGTGTGTGTTAGTCTGTACATTAAATGCATGGAACATATTGAAAGGTTACCTATATTAAATGTATATAAACATACTTCTGACAGAAACATAAACTATTTATAACACTAACAGTTTACAAACTTATACGGCTGAACAGCATTCTGGGTAATGTTAGCCAGCCAGGTAGCATAACAGTCTAACAGCTGGGAGGAGCTCTGTTAATATATTCAAGACTGATGGAGGATGAAGGACTGTGTTTACAGTATTTCAGTTTAAAAAGTTAAAAGTTTTGCCTTGATTTCGGAACCTGATTGTTTCTGTGCTGGATTTTCACTCAGGGTACGGCTCAAACAGCCTCCAGACATATCTATAGTCATGTGATTCTAGGATATCATGTTACTAAAGACTAGCAGGGGTTATTCCTGGAGACATAAATAATAACTCTAAATGGAGGTTCCTTCACAGCTCTTCTGTAGAAACATTAATGCTAAAGACCCCATGTGCTGATTTTGTTTTGAAACAGCTGAAAAAATAAAGCGGGGTTACTGCTCTCATGCCCCTCTGAAAACTCTGAAACTCTCTTTGGCCTTGCAGTAGTGGTGCATGAGTCTTTTGGGTGTCGCGTGGGCTTAAATGCTAACTGTTTACATCTCACAAGATATGGATATAGGAATGTTTGACTAGTGAAGGTCGGAACTGTCACAACTGTGTCATAACAAATGAACTGAAAAGCAGAACAGACACCCTGCTGAAGACTGGCATTATATCCCTGTGTTGTACATTTAACGTTTGTTAACAGGGCTTAAGAGCGGATTATTTACCGTTTTGGTCGTGTGGTTTTATTTTAATTATGTTTTCTTTCTTTTTAAGTGTTTTATACTTTATATACTCCTGGAGGAGAATGGGCCACTGTAAGCCTATAAAGGCTCGGTTACACCAATATATTAATAATACTACAACTACAACTTCTAATAATACTGAGATGTACTGTTGAACCACTATAATCTTAAAAATACCACAAAACAAAAAATTTGGTCATACCTTCCCTACATCACACATTGGTTTGCGCATTAACATACTGGAGGCTCTGGTGTGAAGGTGCTCAGTACCTAAAAATACTGCACACACAGTAGCTCCTTGTAAGTCACAAGGTATTTACGCCCTACTCATAATACTCAAAAAGTTTATCTAATTTTACAAAATGAACCTCACGTTATACTAAATAACACGTGTTCTTCTGTTGTCCTAAATATTTTTTATATGTGTTAAAACAGTTTATAGTAACAATTCAATTACAAACAGCTAGATGCTGGGCTAGTACAGGAACAGTTGTAATTTGTGCTAAAAAAAACAAACAAAAAACAAACAATACACATAAAACAAACAAAACAAAATACAATCCCTCATTTTCAGAACCAAAAATGGGGGGAAAAGCCAACTTAATTCATGTTGAAATTGTTTGCTTCATACTAGGGTTCACCTTCTTCCATCTGGACAAAGGTCTATGGTCGCAAAATGTAAAACAAATATCTTAGTTTCTGCAGCCATCATTCAGATCAACAAATTGTATCTTCTATTCCTTTGAGCTGACATAATATAACCTGAAGCAGCCAACGGGCTTTACACCTGGGTCTAGATTCCTCTGGAAACCAACCTACCGTAGCTTCATTGCAAACCCCACACTTCACCACGTGCTGGTGAATCTTGCCCTCCACAGAGATGAGGCTCTGACACACCCTGCAGCTGATAACAGGGGCACTGCCACTCTCTGGTGAGGTGAGAGGGGAATAGGGCGGCGGGTCCTCCCCTAGGAGCACCGATGGCTGCGTGGGGCTGGGGAATGGAGGGAAACCTAAAGGCAAGGGGAAAGATACAACAGTAGTAAGGACTAGTGAAGGGACACAGTCATAAGAGTTGTGCAGTGAGCTGGAAAAAGCCTCAATTCCCATGACAAATACCCTGTTATGATAAACAAGATAATAAGATTTGGTCTGGAGTTCAGCAGAAAGGAGCTTTAGAAGAAAAACACTCCTGGAATGCTGAGCGGGCTGAGTTTTAACAAATGAGGCTGGGTATTTGTGAAAGACATTTGTGAAAGGTATTTGTGAAAGCCATTTACTCACAGTGTGTGAGTAAATGGCTCAGTTCCATCTAGAAGTCATATGCAACATGCAGCTTTACTTTTACTGCAAGCAGCCCATGTTTCTCAGTTGATGTATTCAGGCACATTTGTCCCTTTCTAGGTGAACGACCATTGGTCGTCGCTCTCCTTTGCAGGATCCCTCGGCAGCCTCCATAATGGCTTTCTCACATGCCAATCAAATCAGGTGTTTCTCGTATGCTAGCTAGCTCAGAGAAACAGTTATCTAGCTTGTGAAGAAAATGGGCTCTCTTAAATAGCCAAATTATATGCACTAATTTGTGTTAAACCCGTAAATGAAATATAATTTTATAATAACGTTACCGAGCTGCATGACTGAGGCTTTGCGGATGGTTTGCCGGTGCTAAGCAGCGCTAGCTGTCAAGCTAGGTTAGCCAGTGAGCACAGCGTTGATTCCCTCCTGTGCTTTCTTCCATTATTTTAAAACTATCGGTTTTATTCAAACAGTAAATGCTTTGTAGCTTTACACCACATACTGACCAAACACAATCACACTAGGGTGACCCCTTCTTGTTGTGATGGCTGAGCTAGAAGAAGAGGCTAATAAAAGCTAAGCTAACTGAGGGTGGAGGAGAGAGCACCATGGATACTCACTCGGTGGTTTGTTGGGCACACCGTACGGTCCCGCACCGGGGGACAACCCGCCGTTACCGCTGCCGAGAGCACCATCGCCCAGATCTGATAATAACGGGGACCTCTCGCCGTCCGCCATACCGAGAGCGAGGCGTGGGGATTAGGGGGGGAGAAAGCGGAGAGAGATTGCAGACCGATACGGTGTTGTATTGTTGTGTCGGAAATGCAGGCGTCACATGATCACACCACCACCACTACGACCGCTGCTGCGGTAACGATGCCCGGGGGTGTGGCACTGCTCACCGGGGGGTGCTACGAGTTGCTAATGTAGGAAAGTTACATTGGAATTATTTGTGAATTATTTACCCCCAGTATTCGATGCACCACTATAACAAACGCAGGTAGCTAGTTTTTTTTCTCCAGTCATCAATGGAAAATTACTAAAATACTCTACTTAGATACTTTTCTTTGAACATGGTAAAAATTTAACAGAGTCCTTCAGACACTTGACTTGAAATGAGGAGAATGAATGAACAATTAATAGTTTAAGTTTAAGCCTGCATGATGAAAACTGTCTGTGTGTCTTTCTATATAAGTTGTTATTAGCAGTAATATTACTTGCAGTAATATTAGAAATAGTAGTGGTGGCACTGGAAGTAGATATGATTGATTGTTTCCAGAACGAGAACAAGTATAAAGATGATAAGAGTTAGTATTTAATTCAGTAAATGCTGCATCTCCATTAAGTTTTGTGTGAATATAAAAGTATTTTTTAAAAATGAAGGCTGAGCAATTTTCTTGTATATCTTCTTCATGCAGCACTGAGCTCTGGGTACTCCAGTATGGAGTTTGCATGTTCAAAACTCTTCCCACAGCCCAAAGACATTAATGAAGAAAGATTGACTGGTAATTCTGAATTCTCCTAGGTGGGACTGTGACTGTGAATCTATTTTCGGTCACTATATATTAGCCCTGCTAAGATAGGATCCACTCCAGAGAAAAGTTGTATAAAATGGCCTCAAAAGACCCGAATTCAAAGATTAATTAAGCTGTGTACCACATTAAGATGTGTACACCATGAAAGTCAGTAATAACAGCTACATTAAGTTGTTGTACTGCAATATACAATATGAATGGTAAATGTTATGCAGATAAAAGATTGCTTAAAAATAGACAGTCCCAGGTATCATGTTCAGTGTTCCTCAAAATAAGGGTTTCCCCAACCTTACACACAGTACGCTTGCATAATGGTAAGCAAAGGCTGAATACATCTGTACATGTTGTATGTTTTTTGTTTATTTTTATCAAATTTGCAAAAAATTTAAAGTAATTTTTTTCAAGGTGGCAATGGAAGGGAATGGGGGGAAAAAATTGAAAGGAAAAAAGAAAAAAAACCAATTTAGGAGTCAAGTATTTATTAGAAATCCACAATTTAACAGTCATAGAGGCTGTGATGGCACAAGCAATAGCTTAAACTCACAAAATTCATGAAGAAATTCATAGCAGAGTTTTTGCTGATTATTTCCCAATTCCTTTCTGGTTTTAATGCTTAATGTGTCAGTTTGTATAATGGTATTTGCTGCTAAATCATCCTTTTTCATTGCATATTGATGAAGTCCATAGGACGCTTCATTAGTAGAGTCACCTCCAGTTCCTCCCTCTCACTGAAGAACTGGGCCTTGCTCTCATTTTTGTGGACCGGATCGGGGAGATGGAGCCCCAGTTTGCTGAAAACAGATGGAAAGGCAGGTTAAAAAAAACAAGTAGCACAGGGGGGATGATATATGTCTAACACTGAAAGACATTAAGAGTTGTGTGATAAAGCAATTAAAGCTCAGATCTTGGCATGCACCTCTGATTAAAAGGAAATATCTGAAACAGGGCACTTCTGGCCTTAAATGTTGCCTCTAAGTCTTCAGGGAATTAAAAATGAAAGCAAACATTTTCAAAGGATCTCTTACTATTTCGGCGTCCGTAGATCAAGGAACTTTTCTTTCACATCCAGCACCACCTCTTTTGCTTTAGTGTCTGGTAGTTTGATTTTAACCTACAAGTGAGGGAAAAGTTAGCATTGTTATTATTCTACACTGTTCACATTATTATATATATATATATATGTATCATTTTTATTTTAAAAACATTTCCCCTTTTTTATTCTTCAATTGTAATGCAAGATTAGGTTTTAAAAAATACTTTCCTCCTTCCAATTACTCTTAACCTTCAAGTAACTGAGTGGGGTCATTTATGACCCCAGCCGTGTATGTATATGTGCTGCTGGGTTTTTTAGATTGTTAGTTGTTTCCTACTTTGAATATTACTTCTACTTCTACTTCCACTTTTTAAAGGTTAACACACATTACATGTGAAACATCCCAGTTTGAGATCCTGAAATAGCTAATGTACTGTAGTGTTGATTTCAAAGCCGGATAAATGGTTGCATCATGAAGGGCATCCAGCATAAAATGTGTGCCAAATCAAATATGCAGATCTGCTGTGGAGATCCTTCCAGTAGGTGAAAGTACCTAAATAGCTGCTGTAATTATTGTGCCATATCGGTGATTATTCCAGAATCAAGCATCTTACTATGACCAATCTAAAAGAGTGAATGCACGTAATCTCAATATTTACAAGTGTTTTAACACAAACTATTTTAAATACAGACTCCAAATATTATTTATTGGAAATATTTTTACATATGTTTTAATACATGCTCAATAATACAGGTGAGGAAATCCCAGAAAGTTGATTCTGTTCATTTGGATTTCAGTAGGAGAAACACTACATCATCCATCCAAGTGACTTTGTCAGTCTCAGCTAAATACAGGTTTCCCCAACCTTACACACAGTATGCTTGCATAATGACTGAAACCAGCAGCATTGCTTAACAAAGAGCCAGAAGGTCTGTGAATAGTCCTCATGGCCACGTAACAGTGGTCATGACAATGCGTGTTCTGATCATGAAAGCAACGGTGCTTTCTCTTATTATGCAACTGCATTGTTTATAGGTTTGGGGAAACCTGCTGTCAGCTGAGACTGAAGGAGTAACCCGGTGAAATGTTTCTCCCACTGAAATCTAGATGAACAAAATCAGCTTTATAAATCTACAAACAAAACTTTTGTTTAGATTTTGTTTAGAAGATTGGAAGTTAAAGACAATGAAAAAACACCCTGATCTATGAAGTCTTCTTTGTAATTTGTTGCTGATCGAAGTATTGGAAGTCAGTTCATCTGTATTTTGGAGATAAAAAAATAATACAAACATACTAAAAGACACAATTCCCTTAAATATACATAACATTTCATATTTAAAAAAGGAACAGACAAAGGCAATCTTAGCAATTTGAGAACATTTTGAAGTATCTGTCAGAGATCAGGTGAACAGTAGAGGAAAGATAAACACTATTAGAAGCATTTAAATATTTTTTACGTATATAGAGCCTGGTCACTATAGGGTTAACATGTGCTCCTGAACATTTTTAGACAGTTCCTTTCTAAAGTCTAAAACTGACTACGTCTTCAACAGAATTATCTGAAGCCAGCCAACATTTAATAGGAGATTCATGCCTTGCTGCTCTTGATCACAACCTTGTGCATTTCATTTTAGTATCAAAAAAGTGCACTGAGTGAAGTGTTAAGAAATCTTGTGACACTTGGTAAGTTACCAGCATGGCTTCACAACACATGGAGGATGGATCCTTTCTGCTTAATCCCAAGAAGAGATCCTCTGTTCCTACACTCTGCTTCAGGATTATTTCATACCTGCACACAGAGGTGATAAATGAAGCAGACACACTAAAACCAAACACAACAAATATCACATTACCAGACATTACCTTGAACAGAAGGAGATTAAGCTCAGAAACAGACAGTGTTTGAAGAAGTATGAGGACTCTTTTGAACCTTTAAATATCCGCTTTTCATAATGTCTGATGCTTTTTTACATCCACTGTTGGTGTGTGTCTCTTTCTGCATTGCAGGCTTACTCAGGTTGTGGCCTTGGGTCAGTTAGATCATCATACTGTGAGCCTTCGGCCACTTCTTCTTCACACCAGATATCTTTGCTGTTCTTCTTCGTGTTTGCGGTTGACACTAATTAAACAGTCACATAAAGAGAGAAAGACAAATGCAGAAACAGTCATGTATGCTTGAATAAATACCTTTTTAGAGTGCTTATAATTGAAAAATAGTACCTTGTTTTTCGTTTTTGGGTGGGGGGCCAATATGTCCGGGACCCAAACGTGCATATGCTTTCACATCCTGTGAACATAAACTAATATTAGTGTGTGTGTGTGGGGTGGGGGGGAGAGAGACTTGGCTTAATGGTTGCTGTAGTTGAAATACAATGATACATATTCTGTCCACTTCGTTTTACTCCATATTCTCCCATTGGTCCTCCCTGCCCACACCTGCAGACTAATAAACTTCACACCATTTTTCTAAATACCCTAAAATGTATATTTTTATTGAAAAATTATTTTTAAAGGTTCATTTTGCTAGTGTTGATTGATTATCCTTCCATACATAGGATTAAAATTTTGCTTGTTGAAAAATGTAAAGAGACAACAATTTCCGAGGAAGATACTAAAGGCTAGTGTTATCAGGGTTTTAACATGGACGCATGTTGATCTTACTTTACACTCATCTTCCTCTTCTTCGTCCTGCTGACTGGACAACAAGGCAGACAGAGCCCGGAGGCTCTTTGCAGAAGATACCCCAAGACAATCCATTCAGAAAAAAAACAAATAAACAAAATAAAACGCGCAGCGGACACAAACGAGGAGGAGAAAGCTGCTAAACTATAAGTAACTATAACAAAACAATTATTTTAATTGGTGCTAGTATACTAATTTTAGCAGCTCACGTTTGGATTGTTGACGCTTTCTGTTTCCCTGGAGACGCCAGGCTTTCCCGCTGCCATGGCAACCAGTGACGTCGAACAAATTACGTGGCCAGAGCCGGTTACGCAGATCGCCGTGAAGGTGTGGGTATTTAGTTTACCCATACCTTCACAATCTACCTTTAACAAGTAGGTTATTCCTGTTTTGCAACTTTATTGATGACGAACCCATTCAAACATATGCACGACAGGCAGTCAATTTATGGTGAAACATGTGGACACGTTTTTAAACTGCATATCTTTGGAGTTCCATATGAAGCATGGTTTGGAGATGTGGGCACAGACATCATTACTATCTGTAAAGAAAGCCTTGTCCTCACAGATATACTCTATTCCTCCTGCCACTGTTGGCGCGCTTTCAATCGTAGTAAAAGCGTTTGGGTGAGAATCAGAGAGGCGGGGCTATCTGCCTTGTCCCTCCGTGGATACCGTAGTGAATGCATGGCCCGCGGGGATCATGTTGAAGGTGACAGGTAGTGCCATGCCGGGAGCCCTGCGATTTTCACCGTTCACCGTGTTTGCTGCTGCGGGTGACGGCGAGAAGGAACCAGCGGTGGCTCCGTTAAACGTGCACGAACTGTCTCTGTACACCGCTCCCCCGGAGAAGTTTCAGTATGTGGAGCCTAAAGCGGGGCAGCTGGAGGAGCGAGTCGCCACCCTCAGGAAGTTAGCGGAGCCGTACACTGCTTGGTGTCAGGTCACCTATGAGAAAATTAAACCAAAAGTTCAGGGGGTCTTCCAGTTTGGGAACGACGCATACGCCTATGTGAAGAACCCCCCGAAGGACTTCTACCCCCGGGCGGGAGTCATCGGCTTTACCGGAGTCCTTGGGCTGGTTCTTGCCAGAGGCTCCAGGATTAAGAAACTCATCTATCCGACCACTCTCATGACCCTGAGCGCCTCTCTCTACTACCCGGAGCAAGCAGCGTCCATCGCAAAGTCAACCGGAGACTCCGTGTACGACTTGGCCGTGCAGAGCTACGCAGCGGCGGAGAAGATCCTAAACCCCCAGAGCAAAGCTGAGAAGGTCAATAAACCCGAAAAGAGCAGCGACTCCGAGACCAAACAGTGACGACCCCGGCGTGACTGCAATAACCGAGCAGTAGCCAATCACACAGGAGCTTTATCCCGATACTGTAAACTGAGCGCTTTCTAGACAGCGTGACTTTTTCATGCCTACACTTTGCACTAAGCTTCACATGAAACTCAGGCCGGGCAAAGGGAAGGGGGGATTTGCAACTTGAATGACTTCCTTCTGATTTGAATGTGTATTTATGTAGAGATAAAGCAGTGTCTTACATTAAAGTTGTTTTACCGCCTTGATTCCGTATCTTATAATGCCACATGCACAAACAAGATAGTCAGCACCAAAGAGAAGAAAACTAATTCAGGATTTTAATAACCAGTCGTTTATTTTAACAATTTTGTTCAATGGGGTGACAAACACCAAAGTAGGCACATTTGATCTGAAACTGTATTATTTTCAAGTTTTATTTGTCATATACAGGTAACAATTATTATACTCACAGATTTTAAACATATTGTATAAAATAGGTTTTGCTAAAAAGTCATAATCCTACATAAACTCAAAACATTTGTAGTATTAAGTACTCATTAGACCCATTTGCATTATACTGCTCAGTAATGCTGGATATATCTCAGCTTTATATTTTAATGCTTTTAAAGTAAAAACTTCAAAGTCATTCTAAAGCTTTAAAGTAAATGGTATGGAGTAGAAATGGCTAAAAATACTGTTGAGTGGAAGTAGAAAACAGTATGACCCAGAAGTACTTAGAAGCACTAGTTAAAACGACATACACACCCACTAATTAGTAAAATCTCAGCTTTGAGTTGAGCAATTTTGCTATTGCCAGCTTTGCATTCTGAAACTGGATACGCCAAAACAACCAGTGGTTCAGTCTGAAATTAAGCCCATGCTCATTGGGTAGCAACTTGTAAATAAAATGTCATTAGCCAATGAGCATTTCCTGGAAAATCACAATTTCTGACTTAGTAAATTTAATGTTTTATGAAATGTGACTGAGCTCACAAATAATCAGGAAAATGTTGATGTTAGAAAGGACTGGAAGGCTGTTAACTTTACAATTCTATATAAACCAAAGTCCTTTTACAGGCAGACGTTCCCACCGCCTGCTGACCTTCAGAAAGAATGAAAGATTGAGGGGCCTCACACCCTTAAACTATGCTCACCTTTTACACCACGAATGAACTCTAGTCAAAATATATTGGTAGAGGGCCAATCAAATGTCATGGGTCAAACAGCCACCCCATGTCCCCCCTCTACATACGTCCATGAAAAGATATAAGGTCAGTTGCCTCCTTAAAAACACATTATTACAGATCAAGAATCATAAAGCCTGCAGTGCAGCAGGTTGACAGCAGTAAATGTGAGGTGTCTAATAACCAGAAAGGAAACGTGTTAGCAGTATAATCCTTCCTTTAATGTTACTGTTTAAAGCTACTTGTGAGAAACCAAGCAGCCTTAAATTTAATTACCATCTTACCACAGGGAATGAACACTGTGTGACTGTTTAACATCTTTATTTTCATATCAGCCAAAAAAAAAAAAAAGAAGAAGAAAAAAAAAATACAAAAATTAAATATGAATGACTTCAAAGAAACCCTCTCAGAGCAGCACCAGCTTCTCATTGAGAGCAATCTGTGCTTGGGTGAGGTTGGACAGGTAGGTCACCATCAACAGGTCCTGCAACAACAAAAGAGAGCATTTAGATTCACACTAAACTAAAGTGAAAGATTATAACAGCATAACAAGGAAACAAGATTAAAGGATGGTAAGTTTGGAAAGAATGCCCAGATTAATGATGCAAAAATACTTCCATCTTCTAAAGCTTCTAATCCTGAAGAAAAACAGTATGATGCAAGTAGAGCCCAAAGACCATAAATAACCATAAAAACAGGAGGAGAGTTTAATTACATGCCAAAAACAACTCAGAGCTCACCTAAAGCCTCTTATATAAGAGCTGTGACAATTCAGTTTACTCTTTTTATAGCCAATGTGTTTATACGTGGAGAGAAATTAAGTACATTATTACCACAACAATAAAATTTTCTGCTACTTCCTTGTCACAACAGGTCAGCACAGCGGGTAGCTCTGCATGTTCAATTTGGCAGTTTATTGCCAGATGATCTTCCTGACGCTAGATTTGTGTCTCTACCACAATAATAAAAATGACAGTGTCTATTAAACTAGCTATTTTTAAGTGCCATTTGCCTGTCTGTTTAGATCAAATAGCAAAACAAAAACAGCAGTTGTCACTGATATAGTAACTTAAACACGAACACTTACATTGATGTTAGAATTGAGCATGTTCTCAAAGTCCTCAGGTGAGATAGTGGGCACCTTGTTTACCAGATCCATCAGGAAACGGCCCACGCTGTTGTCTGCTGTCACCTTGCCAGACTGAAACAGAACAACATGAACTTCATAGCCATCATCAGCGCAAAACCTAATTGCTGCTCAAATGTTCCCAGGTGACCAATATTAAGTTAAATTGTCAGGGATTTAATTAGAAAAGAAAAAAAAAACCCAGGGGACAAGTTTGTCTTGATACTCACCAGCACATCCTCAATGTATGCCAGCACTGTGGTCAACATGTCCTGTACCCTGGCTGCAGCACCACCAACCTGAGACAGGTCAGAGGTCAGCCCCTTGGTACGACTGGGGGTCACACGTGTTCGCTGTAGCAGGTCCACTAAAGAACAAATAGAGAGTATAATATAAAGTTTTCTTTCCTTTCATATGCACCCCAGCGAGTTGTTTGAGACACTGGGATTTAATTATTTGGCATTTCACAGATACTTAGTCACAAAGCATTTGTTTTCAAACAGTCGCCTTCATTTATTCTTTGTATTCTTACCGCCTATCCTCTCAGTGTCATAGTACACATACTTGACAGACAGTGGGGTGAACATCACACCAACTGTCTTTCCTGGCACACCCATCTGCGCACTGTGTAGGAGACACACAAACACATTCAGAGAAGCACTTTCAGGCTGTAGATGATCACATAAACACAGGCGCTGACAGAAAGATCAGCCAACCTGACGTAGGCGCGGATGTTCATTTTGCCACTCTGCAGTGCCGTGTCCACGGTCAGGTGAATAGGATTAGAGGCCTCACGGCTGTAGTACTCGTGGATGAGCACTGAATGTTCTGTGATATCAAAGCCTGTGGCATACCTGTCAGAAAAGATGAACATCTGCTAAAGAATACCATTTTTTCCACTTTTAACAAACTTTAAATCGTTAATATGACCGACTGACGCACCATCCGATGATGACCTCTGTGGGTGAAACCCTCTTGTGAAGCTCATACATGTTCTTGGCAAACTCCATGTCCACAGCAACCTGTGGTCAAAAACAATGCATTTAAGCACAGCCATGTACACTGTCTCTTAAACATTTCTACAGAATCAACTTTCACTTGTGAAAGAGTTCAGTGATAATTACATAATACATGTATTAGTCATAGTTACCCTGTAAGATATTTTGTAATTCACTGTCTCACAAAGCAGGATTAAACATAGTAGGTGGTATCAAGAGATAAACATTAAGAGATTTTTTTTTCCTTTTAATGGGGTGGGGGTTAGAAATGCTAAATGCCTTTTGATTAAACTCAAACAATTGACAAAACCTTGTTACTTAAAGATAAAAGAACAATCGTTGTGGAGGAGACAACACACGTCAGGTAAAAACGTGCCATGACCAGATTAAGGTTGATCACTGAGAAGATCTCAGGGGGCTGTTTCTATTGTTTACTCAGCTACTCAAAAGTAGTGCTTTGCAACACTATTACACATATCAAAATGAAGTATCTCTACAGTGACCCAGATCATATCCAGAAAATAACTTCTTGTAACAGGAAGAATCACACTCAGAATACTTTATTAATCCCTAAGGAAATTATGTAGCCTCAGAAGCCATTTAGAAAAACTACCAGGAATTTATTCAGCCTGGTATTTAGCAGCCATATCGAAATTAAAACTTTAATGGACATTTAAAAACCCAGACTCATCTAATTAAAAACACAAAAGCACAAACACACAAGTTTGATAAAGTTTAGTTATATTTTGCTTTGTTGATGCTCCTAAGATTTTAATTCATGACTCTTTGAGTTTCGGATATGTCTAACTGAATAATGCGTTATTCTTTAGATTATTTGCTGAGATTATTTGCTGAATGTCGGTTTCGTCTCTTGTTTATTACTCGATGGCCGATGTGGAATGGCTACTGTATTACTGGCCCTTTCCCCTTGGCTTCAACATCAACAATAAATAAAATTATGTTAGCTGCAAATAAAGAGTTTAGTAACATACCTCATCTTCAGATTCATTGTGAGGGACAGAGAAGCAGTTGGTCACCTCAATAGAGTGCTTGTCAATAGTACCTGAAAAAAGCAAATGTTTCAGTTCTTACATTATATTGTTGTAGTGACGAGCAGCTTCATTGTAAGTTAGCAAACAAGAGGATTCTCCATTAAATCGAGACAGTAATAAGCGCTAACATCAGCGATAAGAACAGCGATCTTTTCCTGTTGCTAAGCATCAAATGAGTGCAAACCCCACCAAAATGGAAAAAAGTCCAGGTGATTTGCTAAAATTTTAACTATATGAACAACTGAGTGGGCGGCCAGCTGTTACGAGTGATGCCGCTAGCTAACTAACAGTAGCTAATGCTAGCCAGCTGCTGAACTGAACCAGCATGTGTTAGCAGCTAAAGCTAAAAGCAGCTAACTATGCGGCAACTGGTTTCGTGCGAAGTCGGTCCAAGCGGCGCAGGACAAACATATTGTCTTTTTACTTACCCAAAAGGGTTCCAATCACACGACTCGCTCCCTCATTTCTTCGCTCGTAAGAGTCGCAGATAGAAGCGAGGACGACGGGATGAATTTTCACAACTGGCCCGAACACCGACATCTTGGAAAAGGAGGGCAGACTACTGATCACACTGCCTGAAGAGACCAACTGATTACCGGCTTCATGGACACATATACCGCCACCTTGAGGCTGGCGGATAAATAGCGGTTAGTGAGAATAATGCTAATTATGATCAAGTCATTGATATCATTGTGATACAATGTTGTAGGACTGTATCTTCCTCTATAAGCGGAATTTTTTAATTAGTAAATTATTCTAACAAGGAGTCTGATATAATAATAGTAATAATAATGTTATTATGGAAAAGCCATAAAAAGGATTGCATCACAATCAGACCATATTTAAAATGACATATACAATGAGCTTTATTACATCCAATCTATATGTTTATGTTTCTGCATTTTT